GGGCGGGGGCTCGATCGCCGCCTCCTCCTCGGGCTCCGGCGCCGGCGCGCCGCGGAGCCGCGGCGACCGCCGCGCCTGCGACTCCGCCTCCTCGTCCGACGACTCGGCGGCCTCCTCCGCCTCCGGCGCCGGCGCGCCGCGGAGCCGCGGCGACCGCCGCGCCTGCGACTCCGCTTCCTCGTCCGACGACTCGGCGGCCTCCTCCGCTTCGGGCGCCGGCGCGCCGCGGAGCCGCGACGACGACCGGTTCCGCGCGTCGTCGTCGTCGTCGTCCGCCGCGGCCGCGCGGCGCCGCGGCGCCGCGCGGGACCGGGCCGGCGGCGGCGCCTCGAGCGTCGCGCGGCGGCCCCGCGGGTCCAGGGGCGCGTCGTCACCGCCGTCGCGCGCGCGGCGCCGGAGCGTCGACAGCTCCGTCGCGAGCGAGACGAAGTCGCGCATCGCGTAGTTCGGCGTGATGTCGCTCTTGAAGAAGGGCACGCGGCACTCCGGGCAGATGTACTCGTCGACGCAGGCGACCAGGACGCATTCCGTGCAGAAGCAGTGGCCGCAGGGCAAACAGCTCAGGTCCTCATCGAGCACGTTCTCGCAGAGCCGGCACGTCGTCGCGCTCGCGAGCGCGTCGAAGCACGCGTCCTCGGAGTCGTCGTTGGCGACGACCGACGCGGCGCTCGATGACACGGGCGCGGCGGCCAGCGGCGACGCGGCGACGCCCTCGGCGTCCAGCGGGGCCGCGGCGTCCAGCGTCGGCGGCTTCTCCGCGTCGATGCCGTCGACGGGCTCCCGCGCGCCCGAGCTCGACGGCGGCGGCACCTTGGGCGACGTCGTCTTCTTGGGCGGCGGGGCCTCGTTGGGCGCGGCGGCCTTCTGGCGCGCGGTGCCGAAGTCGTCGTCGCCGCCGCCGCCGCTCTCGACGACGACGTCGCTCTCGACGACGTCGGGCTTCTTCGGCATGGCCTTCGCCGCCGCGTCGCCCATGACGACGCCCGCGCAGTAGCAGTAGTCGCGCGGCGCGCCGCCCGGGTCCGACGCACCCGTGCCGTCGTCGTCCGCGTCGGACATGGACCCGTGCTCGAAGACCGGGAGCTCGTCGCGCTGCGGCACGCGAGCGCCGAACGTCGGCGCCTCGGCGTTCGCCGCCTCGGCGCCGTCGTCCGCCGCCGCGGGCTCGTCGTCGGACGCCGAGTCGACGTAGTAGGTCTTCTTGGCGCCGGCGTTGCGGCGGCTCGCGCCGCGCGGCGCGACGGGCGCGGCCGCGTCCTCGTCGTCGCCCGCGAAAGAGGCGTCGGACTCGTCGTCGTCGTCGTCCGAGCCGACGTAGACGGGCTTCTTCTTCGGCTTGGGCGCGGCCTTGGCCTTGGGCGCGGCCGCGGCGCCCGGGCTTTTGGCGACGAGCGAAGCGAGACTCTTCAATGCCTTACGAATTGACGATGGCGTTGCGTTCCAGCGGGAGGTGGCGGCGACGAGTTGGCTCGACACAGCGGCGGGATCGTGTGGAGAGGAACGCGTCAGCAGCAACCCGCCCGTTCGCAACCGGCTGAGATTGTGTGCGAGCACCCCCGCGGCGTACTGCGTCTCCTCCATAGCCGAGGGCGGCCAAGCCAACGACGCCTGCAACACTATTCAACCTAACACGTTGAACTTGACGCTCTCCGATGTCGTCGGCATTTTCGTTATGCTGACCGGCGCCCCGGGCTTCGTCTTCTCCGCGTACTACCAGCGCGGCACGTAGACCCGCCGGAGCGTGTCCCGCCGGTCGCCCCCTTGCTCCCGCGCAGCGCGTGCGCGACTCCGAGTCCTCGGACAACGTTCGCGGGTCGCCAAGTTATGACATCCTAGTCGCCGGCGGACCTCTCGCCCTCGCACGCGGGGCAGCGGCACGTGGGGAGGTGCGGCGACTTCTTGACGTACGGCCGGCTCGACGGCTGCGGCGGGCCCTTGGCGATCGCGGCTGCTTTTGCGTCTTTCTGGCGGCAAGCGAAAACGTGCCGCTTGAGGCCTACATGATTTATCATATCTGCGCACACGGGGCAGGGCTTCCGTTTTGATGGTGGCTCACTGTGGCTTCGCGGGAACACAAGGGCACTGCACCGCACGCGCTTCCACGGCTCTCCCGGCTCTTTCAAGTCTTTGTCCCACCAGACTGTATAATAAGGACCAGAGGCCGTCCCAAGATCCATGAGCGTTCCTGGTTTCCGAGTCTTTTTGCACTGGACTCTACGAGGTGCTTTCGCGTACGCCGCCGCGGCCGCCGCGCGGTCGCGGTCGCTCGCCTCAGCCGCGAGGCTCCCAACCTTAGCGATAAGTCGATCGGCGTGCGCACACAACAAATCCCTTGCGTCGACAGCCTCGCCTGGAGAGACACTGAGAGCGGCGGGGGCACCAGACTCGAGGCCGGATGCGTTCACGGATTCCGGAGAGATCTCTCGCTCGTCCGGGGTCATTGAGACGGCTTCGGTCATCGTTCCGGCGCGCGGCGCGCGCGCTGGCGGACGCCCGACGACGCGCGTAGCGCGGGGCGGCGGGCCGTCGACGACGCGACGAGGCACGACCGTCGACGACGCGAAGAGCACGACCCAAGACTTGGCTGAAGCGGCAAGTCTGTCCGACAGAGAAGGTCATCATGCCCTGCCTCGCCGGCTTCAGACAGCCGTGTGGGAGCTCTCTGAACAAGGATGGAGGCCCAGGCCGTGGCGCGCCAGGCCTTCGAGGCGGCCTACCTCGCGGCGGCGCCGCTCTGCGAGGACCAGCGCGCGCTGAAGCGCGCGCTGCGCGAGGCCGCCGCGGCCTTGCTGGCGAAGCTCGAGGCAGCCCAAGCCACCAAGGAGGCGCAAACACCACCGGCCGAGCCGTCGGCGCCGGACGAGGAAGCGCGCTGGGCCGCGCGCGTCTGCAAGGCCGTCGTCAAGGACATGCGCCACAGCGAGTTCTGCGTCGCCTGGAGCCGGCGCGGCGGCCGGTCGACGACGACGTTCGCGCGGCGCTACCGCGACTTCGAGGCGCTCTGGAAGGCGCTGCGGAGCGGCCGGCTCGTCGCGTTTCAGCCCCTCGTCGTGCCGCTCCTGCCGACGAAGGTCGGCTTCGGCCGCCACGTGGAGCAGAGCTTCGTCGCCGCGCGGGAGGCGGGCCTCCGGCGGTGGCTCGGCGTCGTGACGGCGTCGCCGGCCGCGCGCGCGGCGCCGTGCCTCGCGCGGTTCCTCGACCCGCGCACGGGGCCGGGCACCTTCGCCCACGACGAGGCGGCGCGGAGCCCGGACGACGACGCCTTCGAGGAGACGGGCGCGGAGCGGCCGCCGCCGGGCGGCCGCCGCGCCGCGTTCAGCCGCCTGCTCTCGGAGAAGGCGGCCCTCGACGGCGCGGCCCACGCGTACAGGCGCGCGAGCGACGCGACGAAGGCGCTCCGCGCGCGCGTCGCCGCGGCGCGGGAGGCCCACGCGGCGCGCGCGCTGGCGCTGGAGGCGCTCGCGGGCGCGCTCGCGGAGCAGCCCGGCGAGCGGAAGCCGCGCGCGGCGGCGCGGGCCGCGCTCGCGGCGCCCTTCGCCGCCGCGGTCGCGGGCGCCGCCCGCGCGGCCGTCGCCGTCGCCGCCGACGAGGCCCACGCGTCGCCCCTCGTCGAGGGCATCGACGACCTCGGCCAGGCGCTCGGCTTCCACGTCGACTGCGCCGCGCGCGC